GGTCCCACATCAGGTCCTTCCTTGGAGCAGCTCCTTGCCCGTTCTCCGTGTGCTCCTCGGCGTGCGAACCGCAGCTGGGCTCGGCAGGGCTGCGGCAGCGGGGGCTCAGCGGGGTCGCGGCCCAGCCCCGCCCCGCACAAGGCTCCGGTGCCCGGGGGGGTGAAGCAGGACGGGGAGGGCGGCGAGCAGAGCCAAAATGTGCGTGGTGGTGATCCCTGCGGGGCTCTGGGGACAGAGCGGGGCTGCGGGCGAGCACCCGAACGCCTTTTCCCCCTTGATCGGAGCGTGCTCGGGCAGAACGGGGAGAGTCCGAGCTGGGTCCCCGCTCTAAGAGCGGCTCAGGAGCTGGAATTGGCATCGTGTCTGTCACGCTGAGAGACCCCGAGGATTTGTGTGTGCTGTGCTTGCAAATACAGGGACTGTTTTAGCAGGAGTGTGGGCGGGTGCTCTGCGGGGTGTTCGCAGGGAAAGGAAACTCCGCCAGGAAAACTCTGCTTTTAATGAGTTCCTCGGGCTCCTTGAGGATCAGAGGGCAGAAGGAGCTCCGGACAGGGCCTCGCTGAGGATTCTGAACGGGACTGTGGGCAAGGGATTGGATTACACCTGGCCAGAGCCAGGGGAGCAAAACAGAGCCTTGTAACTCAATGCCCGAGAGGGGCCAGTGCCAGGCTGGCAACGGAGCCGGGGGCTGTGCCCAGCCTCGTGCCCGGCGTCGGAGTTAATTCCAGCACTCTGAAACCGCTCCATGAAGGGACACGGCTGGAGCCTCGGGACCTGATGACTGTGGCCTTGAGTAATGGTTTAAAATGGTTCTGCTGCTCCAGTCCTGCCGTGGAGCATCGTCCCAGTTTGTCCTTCCTGCTGGTACCTCTCAGGTGCTTTTCCTTAGAAGGAAACATCTCTGTCACTTATCCTTTCTCACGCTCTTTTCCAGTCCTAACTGCTGGGAATTCGTGCTCATAACCTCAGTAGTGCTGGTGAGCAGGGAGATTCCCTGGGGAATCACAGAATTGATTGGAAAAGCCCTCCAGGATCATCGAGTGCTCAGTGCCCACCTTGTGCCACATCCAGCCCTTCCTTGGACACTTCCAGGGATGGGCACTCCAAACCTCCCTGGGCAGCCCCTGCCAAGGCCTGAGCTCCCTTTCCATGGGGAAATTCCTCTGATATTCACCCTGAGCCTTCCCTGGCCCAGCCTGAGGCCGTTCCCTCTCCTCCTGTCCCTGGGAGCAGATCCCAAATCCCCCCGGCTGTCAGGGAGTTGTGCAGAGCCAGAAATTCCCCCTGAGCCTCCTTTGCTTCAGGCTGAGCCCCTTCCCAGCTCCCTCAGCCTCTCCCTGTAGGCCTGGCAGGAGGAGCAGCTGCTGTTGCAGTTGTTGGGCTCTGGATGCCTGTGGGAGCAGTTGGAGGGGCGTGGGAGCTGAGCTGCCTGTGCAGGGTGGGAGAGGGGGCAGGAGTGGGGGATTTCACTCCATGCCTGGCAGGAAGGAGCCCTGGGGCTGCTGGTGGTGCCTGCAGAGAGTGGGATGCTGGGCAGGATACAGCACAGGAAAGCCCAGCCTCCTCTTGTCCTATGGTTCTTGTGGTCCTGATGGATTCTGGTGCAGCTGGGGACATTCCAGTGCCCCAAAGTCACAGCTACAGGAGGCAGGACACGTTCTCAGTGTCCCAGCATGTACCTGTTCAGTATTCCTCCCACAGGGTTCTCCTTGGGAAAGCAAATACACCAGATTTTTAGTTCTGGGGATTTTTGTTTGTAGTTTCTGGTGAGGGTGAAAACTTCTGCTCAAGGCCTTAGGGATGGTTTGTCAGCAAGAGGCAGCTCTGGGCTGAGCAGAGATCCCGTGGCCTCGTAATTAAAATCCATTTCACTTCTCTGTTGCAGCTCTCCCAAATCAGGCACTAGGAAAATCTCATTAGGTTGAAGAAAACCCCCAAAAAACCTGACACATCTGCTTGGGTTTGGTCACTCAAGGAGCTGTAAAACAAATCCTCCAGTGCTTGTTTAGGTGTTCAACACGGCCTCTGTTTGCCTCTTGGTTTTGTGCCATCAGAATTGCCCTGAAAACGGAGCAGCTCCTTGGGAATGTGCCACCCCTGAGTGACCACCACGGTGCCCCCTGTTCTGGCAGTGTCCCCTCTCCCAGGGATCCCGGGGCCACGGGGTGCAGCAGAGCTCTGTGGGGGCTCTGGACCCCTGTCACCTCCCTGGTGTCTCATTAGAGCTCTGGAGTGTCTGTGGGATGGGGAGGTTTTGCTTGTCTGGGATTAGGGATGGAAAACCAGGGTGTGAGTAACATGTGAGCTGTCTGAGTTTGGAGTAAGGGCTTCAAAGGCCAGTCTGGGGCAGAATGCACACATGTGCCTTCATTCCTGGTTTGTTTTTCTGTTGTGTGGCCCAGCTAGAAATCACAAATGAGAGGTCAGTTGGTGACACTCAGATCTGTTTACCTGGTTAAAGCAGTAATTAAAGGTTAGGTGGGAAGCTGGGCTCCAGAACTGGAGTGTGTCCATGGTCAGGGGTGATCCTCAGCTTGGAATCGGTGCTCGATAGATGGACTCATTGGTTACTCCTTTGCCAACTGAAATGTGAGTGTGTCAGAGCCTTAAGAGTTGATTTCAGGTCAGAATCTCTTTCAGCTTCATCCCAAGGGGAGAGACAGCTCTGTTCTCTGCCCTGTGGGAAGGGCTGGAGCTGTGCCAGGGGGGTTTAGGTTGGAGAGCAGGAAAGGCTCTTCCCCCAGAGGTGCTGGCACTGCCCAGGCTCCCCAGGGAATGGGCACGGCCCCAAGGCTGCCAGAGCTCCAGCAGGGTTTGGACAGGGTGGGGTTGTTGGGGTGTCTGTGCAGGGCCAGGGGCTGGACTCTGATCCCTGGGGGTCCCTGCAGCTCAAACATTACTCTGGCAATCCAAAACAGGTTAAAAAAATCATGGAATTAATCTCCTTGTGTGTCTTTTTGCCCCTGGAGTCTGCAGATTCCCAGCTGTGCCTCAGCAGTGCCCCCAGGAAGGGAGAACCTGCCCCATGCCCCAGTTGGGCCACTCCAGGAGGATGGGAGCAGCCAAAGGCTGGCCATGGACTTTGTCCCTGCCTGGGGGTTGTGTCACAGCGCTCAGGGAGCACAGGTCACCTGAGGTGGCACCTGTCTGTCACCTCAGTGAACCTGTGAGGCTCAGGTGGGTGTCACCTGCCAGCTCCAGGTCACCAGATCTGAGGGTTTCAGCTCCTGTCACTGGGAGCTGCTGAATGGGAGTGAAGTCCAGCAGAGGCAGAAGGGAAATGTTTCGGAGTGTGACGCTGTGACCTCCCTCTGCTAATGACTGCTGTGGTGACAGTAACGAGCTTGGGGTGTGCAGGAGCTGTGTCCACAAGGAAAACTGGGTTTTGGTGTCAGGGCTGGGAGGGTCACAGAATCCCAGAATGGTTTGGGTTGCTCATTCCACGTCCTGCCAGGGGCAGGGACACTTTCCATTATCCCAGGCTGCTCCAGGCCCTGTCCAGCCTGGCCTTGGGCACTTCCAGGGATCCAGGAACAGCCACAGCTTCTCTGGGCACCCTGTGCTGGGGCAGCTCTGCAGGTGGGGTCTCACCTGGGCAGGGCAGAGGGGCAGGATCCCTCCTCTCCTGCTGCCATCCTGCTGGGATCAGCCCAGGATGGATTTGGACTTCCCACACCAAAAAGATTCTGGGCAAACCTTTGCAGCATTCTGGTTTTGCTTGGCAATGTGCCCCCGTCCCATGGGGGTTCTACAGGGCCTCCCCCCACTGAAGGACACGTTCCTGGGGTGCTAAGGGTCTCCAGCTCACCAGGAACACCCCCAAGGTAGCAGCTTTATGGCTGGGCTGGCTTTTAGGGTGGCTTTTAGGATGCCAGGCCATGGGAATGTGGGATCTGAGCAGCCCCTCCGTGTCTGCATTCAGGGGTGGGTTGTGGATCCTGTTTCCTTCAGGGTAGGGGGAGGAAGGATGGCGGTGCTGGGGCTGGAGCTCACTTTCCATGACGTCCTTGTCCACAAACGCAGCCTAAATGTCAGAGAACAGAGTCTCCTTCAGGCTGTTTGTTTGGGTGCTGTTTGGCATCCACAAATAATAGCCCTAAAAATAGGTGAGTGACATTCCTTGCTAATCTCTGGGGAGGGGGTTTTGTGCAGGGATGTGAACCAGGTTTAGTTTTTGGAGATGGGTTTGTCAGGGAAGGGGGAGCTGGAAGAGCCCCTCAGGTGATGAATGGCTGGGGTTTGTCCACAGTGACCTGTCCAGGTCCTCGGATGCCAAATCCAGCTGCCTCTGCAGACAGCTCATGCCTGTGGTGCTTGTAGTGCCTCTGGCACTTGCCCTCCAAGTCAGTTCCTAATTTTACCTCCTTACCCAGCCAGTGACAGCGTGACACAGCAGAGGAGAGGGAATGACATCAGCAGACGGATGGATCAGTGCAGAGCGGCAGCAGGGATTTGATTTTAATTAAAAATGAGCGGTGCCAAGGTGATTCTGCTTTTAAATTGGTGGAGTGATCCCTGTCACGAGCTGTGAGGCTGCTCAAGGCTGGGGCTGTCTCTGCACGTGGTGTTTGAGCCCTCCATTCCTACAATTCCAAACATCCTGGTAATAAACACTGAGCTTCCTGGAAAACGCAGCGCCAGCCCCTGTGTTTGAAAGAGAACACAACTTCTGACACCCCGAGTGCTGTGTGAGGAGGGGAGCTGCTTTTGGCCATCTATTTCAACACAAAAGGAGACTTTTTCTACCCAAAAGTCCAGTGGATGTCTGGAGGCAGCTGGAATCCCCTCAGCAGGAATTCTGTGGATGCTGCAGGACTGACAGTTGTTGGGATGGGTGGGAGAGGTTGGTTTATGTTATTCTGCCAAGATCCCTGCATGTGGAGGATGTTCTGCACAGAGCACAGTGCTTCCATCAGCTGCTGAGGCTGGAATTCAGGGAATGTTTTAGCTGCTCCTGGCTTTGCTCCTCGTGCCAGCCTGGTGTGGGCACAGGCAGGGGCTGGCAAAACTGAAAATGTGTTTTCAAGACCACGATGTCACCTGAGCTGGCTCAGCGAGGAGACAACCCCTTCCCCTGAGCTGGGCTTCCATTGTTCGCCACCAGCTGCTCCACAGCATCTCCATCCTCGCTGGCTGTCCTGCAGCCCGTTCCCGTGCCTCTCTCAGAGGGCAGGAGGCAGCTCAGACACGTTTGCCTCCCTCCTGAGCAGCGCTGGACTCCTTCCCAGGCCCCTTGAAGAGGAAGGAAGCTGCAGGTGTTTGCCCTCCCCGGGAGGCTCTGGCTGAGACCTGCCTTGTGAAGCTCTGCCTGGTTTTGTTACCTCCCAGGACAGGGCTGGGCAGGAAACTCAACCTCCCACCCACCTTTTATCTTCCTGAAATGATTTATTCCCTCCAAGGTGGAGGCTGCATGACCAACATCCAGCACTGTGGTTTGGCATCTTGTAGTGACTTGTGCTCCTTCCCTGCTCACAGGGGCAGGGAATTTCTGTCTAAACCCATTCTCTTCCTGAGCTGTGCCTGCTCTGTTTCCTCATGGAAAACATGGGGAAAAAACCATGGGAAGCGTGGGGAAGCAGCCAGGCCTCAAAGCAGAGCAGCTGCCTCCTGCCAGAAGTTTGGAATTTCTTTCTGTGGTGCCAGTTATCAGCTGGCTAAACTGGGACACTCTCAGGTAGCATTCCCCCCTCTTCCTTGATGATTAAATCAAACACAAAAAGCTGCTCCAGAGAGGATCTAAAACTCGCAGTGGGCTTGGGGCAGGTCAGCCACAGGAGGGTTGAGACCTGCCTTGGTTCTCCTTAGCCGAGATTCTCTGCGTAACCGCTCCGGTTGCGACACCCGGCCACCTTTGCTGAGCTGGATCCCAGCCTCGGGCAGAGGCTGACAACGCTCAAAGCCCGGCTTTGTCAGCGATGAACGCGTCCCTCCGCGCTGGGTGCCGCGGCAGCAGCGTGTGGAGCGGCAGGGAGCAGCACAGGGAGGATCCCAGCCTGTGTGTGGGGCAGGGCAGGGATTTCTCCACGCAGGAATGTGGCCCTGCCAGCCAGCCCTGCCCGTGGGCTCGGCTCCCCCCGGGAATATCGAGCTGGTGGATCGCTGGAATGGCGCCTGAGGATGGCCCCGGCCGCTGCTCCCGTGCCCCGCAGGTTTGGCCTGGTCCCCAGCTGCATCTGGGAATGCCTTGCTGGGCAATCCCGTGGGGTTTCACCCTCAGAGGTGCTGTTCTGCCAGCTGAAGGGATTAAAGTGAGCGCCCCACGCCTTGCTCTGGGTGTATGCTCACCAAACACTCATTGCTTTTCTCATGGGTTATCCACGGTGGCTTTGCTTTTCCCTGCCTCTTGCTTCCCAATCCATCCTCAGGTGGAATCACACTTCCCCCTTTACAGATCAGTGTTTGGGAGAGTGGAATTAAATGTGCGCCCAGACAGGCTCAAACTCCGACCTCCAAGCTGAGATTGGCCTTCATTTTATTAAAAACCTCGTGATTTTTACTTTTGTCTCCTTCTTTTCAAGGAAATAGACAGACGGTTGGAAAAGAAGCTGAAGATCACACAGAAGGAAAGGTAAAATCCTGATTTTCCTGAGGTGCTGTTGGACAGCTGGAGGCCTGGGGAGTGGGAACAGTGAGGAAAGAGCTTGGAACGGAGCAGGGTTGGAGTTGGGAAATAGGGAATCGCTGTCTCCGTGCCACTAGGTGTCCCTTGGGAGCCGTGCAGGGCAGCAGAGAGCTGCTGAGAGCTCCTCCAGGCTGGGTGCAGCAGAAAGAGACACTTCTCACTGGAATGGGTCAGTCAGGTAATGCCACTCTGTGACTGACTCGCTGTGTCTTGCATCAGGGAGAATTTCTTTTCCTGCTTCCTTTGGGTCTAGGTAAAGGCTGTGTTATTTTCTCCTGCTAGAAATGTTTTTAATCACTGCTGACAGGTCCTTTGTTGTTGGGGTTTTTTTTCCCCTCTTTGGTTATTGGAGAGTCATGGGGTTTGTCCTCTGGGAGTTCCAGGCAGAAAAGGGACTATAAAACCTTCAGATGGTGAGCTGGGGCCGAGGCTGGCTCCAAGCAGTGAAATGGCAGGCTGGCTGTCCTGCTGAGAGGAGCCCTGGAAATCCTTGCAGGGAATGAAATCAAGGTGCTTTCCCAACATCTTCAACTAGAAATGCTAAAATTAAAACTAAAACAGTGTCTGTTCCCTTTCCTTCAGTAGAGTCTAATGGTGTCAGACATAGCAGGGACTGATTTTCCATCCTGCTGTAGTTTAGAGTTACAGCTATGACGAGGTCTTTAATTATTCCTTAATCACTGGAGCACCCCGTGAGCGTGAGGAATTCACACACCAGGCAGAATTCCCCCGTGGAAAACAAGCACCAACCCCATGTTTTTGTTCCCAGCAGCAGAAAGTCCAAATCTCCTCCCAAAGTGCCGATTGTGATCCAGGACGACAGCCTTCCCGCGGGGCCCCCGCCCCAGATCCGCATCCTCAAGCGTCCCACGAGCAACGGCGTCCTCAGCAACCCCAACTCGGCCAGCCGCCCCGCCTTCCCCGTCAAATCGCTGGCACAGCGCGAGGCCGAGTACGCCGAGGCCAGGAAACGCATCCTGGGCAGCGCCAGCCCCGAGGAGGAGCAGGAGAAGCCCATCCTGGACAGGTGAGAGCAGCTCCGTGGCTCCTGGGGGATTCCTGCCTGGCGCTGCCGGGGATGGGTGGGCTCCTTGGGGGGCACAGAGAGAGCCCCAGCCACGTGGGAGTGAGGGGAAGTGCCGTAAATCCTGGAATCACTGAGGCTGGAAAAGTCCTCCGGGATCACAGAGTCCAGCCACTGACTGGCACTGCTGTGTTTGCCACTGAACGTGTCCCCAGGTGCCACATCCGTGTGCCTTTGGGACACTTCCAGGGATCCAGGCTTCTCTGGGTGACCTGTGCGAGGCCCTCACAGGGAGGAATTCCTTCCCAACATCCAGTCCATTCCTGCCCTCTGGCAGAGGGAATCTATTCCCCCTTGGCCTCTTGTCCAGAGTCCCTCTGTCTTTCCTGCTGGTCCCTTCAGGCACCGCAAGGCCACGGTTGGGTCACCCCAGAGATTCTCTGTTGTAGGCTGAGCAATCCCAGTCCCCTCAGCCTCAACTCCCAGCAGAGCTGCTCCATCCCCCTGATCACCCCAGCAGGCTCCTTCGGACTTGTTCCATGTCCCTCCTCCTGTGCTGGGGATCCCAGAGCACACCACAGCATTCCTGGGGTGCAGGGGTTTCCTGGAGGCACTGGGAACTGTACACCTCATTCCCTCCCCTGCTCCCCGTGTCCCCACAAGCCCAGCTGTGTCCCCATAGTCCCAGCTGTGTCCCCACAAGCCCAACTGTGTCCCCACAAGCCCAACTGTGCCCCTCTCCCCGCAGACCCCCGCGGATCTCGCAGCCTGAGGACACCAGGCAGCCCAACAACGTGATCCGGCAGCCGCTGGGCCCCGATGGCTCGCAGGGCTTCAAGCAGCGCAGATAGAGGCGGAGGCGCCGTTCCGCCGGCACGGACACACGGACCCGGGCCAGGGCACGTCCCGGGCTGATTTGCACTGTGACCCTTTTTTTTGCTCTGCCCACTGTGACCTTGAGCCCCACGCACTGTGAGCTCCCCTCTGCACCCACTGTGAGCGGCGATCCCGGCAGGGCTGTCCCAGGGGGGACGGAGGGGCCGTGCCGGACCTGGCCGGGCGCGGGGAGTCGTGTGTGTCCCGCTCGGGTCGGAGCGAGCGCCAGCAATAACGTTTGTTGTACTCCAAACCTGGCATTTAAGGATAAAAAAAGAAAAAAAAAAAAAAAAAAAA